ATACAGGGGAAAAAAATAAAAAGTAAGACAATTATGTGTCTATAAAATATTCTATAAACACAGAATAATAAATTATATGTATATATGATATTTTAAAAATTACAGGAAGCCATTGTTTTGGACTAGGGTCCTGCCCTGCACCCTAAGCCATAGACCAGACTAAAAATAGAAATGGAGTCACCCCTGCTGAGGTTCCATGTGTCACCTTCCTAGAAATCCAGGGAGGAACTGCCAAGTTTCCTACATGAGCACGTTTCTGTTGGCACGTCCAAGGTGTTCCTTCTGCTTTAATCCTTTAATCAGTTATTAATCTGATATTAATCAGTTATTTTCCTATTGTTGTCCCTTGTCCCTGCCTTACAAGGAAAGTTAACTTTGAAATGATCAGTCTGCTTTTTGTTCTTTGTTTCTACTTTCTTTAACCCTTTCCTGTTTATAAAATGAACCCTTTAGCTGGGTGCGGTGGCTCCTGCCTGTAATCCAGTCACTAGGGAGGTAGACATGGCAGGACTGCAGTTCAAGGCCAGCCTGGACAAAAAGTGACACCCCCCCATCTCAACTGATGAGCTGGGTGTGGTGGTGCCTGTCTGTGATCCCAGCTTTGCAGGAGGTATAGGTAGAAGGACTGCAGTCAGAGGCTGGCTCAAGACCCTCTCTGAAAAATGATTAAAGCAGGAAAGGGCTGGGGACTTGGCTCAGCCGCTAGAGCAGCTATTTAGCAAGTGGGAGGCCTTGAGTTCAAGCCCCAGTACTGCACCCAAAAAACAAACCGAAAACAACCTCTTCTGCCCAACCCATCAGAACACTCATTCTGTTACGGAATGAAGGGTTACCAGATTCTAGAATTGAAGAAAGCCAAGTTAAGTTTGTTTTTTGGTGGGACTGAGGTTTGAACTTGCAAAGCAGGCGCTCTACTGCTTGAGCCACACTTCCAGTCCATTTTGCTCTGGTTATTTTGGAGATGGGGTCTCATGAACTGTTGTCCAGGCTGGCCTCGAACTCACAGTTCTCCTGTCTGGGCCTCCTGAGTGCTGGGACTACCACGCCTAGCTCCTCACTTTAATTGTAGCCTTGCCTAAATTCTACACAGTTCTAGTACCCACTGCCCAAAAATTATCCCACATTGGGCTGGGGTTGTAGCTCAATGGTAGAGTGCACAGCCTTGGGTTCAAATCCTCAGCATTACACACAAATCCACAATGTACATGTGAATGACAAATTCAAGTGTTGGTGGAGTGGCTCAAGTGGTAGAGAGCCAGCCTAGTAAGTGTGAGGCCCCAAGTTCAAACCTCATACTGCCCCCAAAAAGACAAAACAAATTCAAATGTATTGTGTGTTCCCAGACACAGTGCAGGTCTCTCTTAAGAGGACAACAATCCTATCAGGTTAGGGGCCCACTCTGATGACTTCATTAAACCTAATTGTCTCCAGAACGGCCCCATCTCCACCATAGTCACATCAGGGACGAGGAGTTCAACACATGCATCTCGAGGGGACCCAAACACTCAGCCCTCATCAGATGCCTCACTGTGGAATCACACAACCTCAATGCCCTGGCCCCACTCATCAGGGCTCCCGCACCCGATGTCAACATTACGAACGCCCAAACGTTCGATCAGTGAGCGCTGGGCACTTGGCCACCACGTTGTCCTCAGTGCTTTCGGCACAGCATCCTGCAGCGACACCGTCCCCGTGTTGCCACTGTGTGGCCTCTGCAGACAAGACCTTTTCTGTACCTACCTTGCTCCAGGAGCACAGGTGTGACAGCGTATGGTGATGTCCTCCTCCAAGGACACTCACTGGACACACTCACTATAGTCATTTAAATCCGAGGCCATTTAGTCCTTTTTTGAGTTGTCGTGGCAAAAATTGCTCATTGACAAATTCTACTTCCAAATTAAAAACCAACAGACAATGCTCCTTTTCTGAAGAGACATTGGCAACCCCTGGGGTTTTTGGTTTTTTTGGTGGTACTGGGGTTTGAACTCAGGGCCTTGCACATGCTAGGCAGGTGGTCTACTAATTGAGCCACACTCCCAGATCTTTTTTGATTTAGTTTATTTTTCATATAGGGTCTCATGATTTTCCCCGGGGCCAGCCTGGAAACTCCTCCCTCTGCCTCCTGCTTAGCTGGGATTACAGGCCTCAGCAGCTGTGCCCACTCTTTGGGAACCACTTCTAGTGTCCTGCAGTCTCCAGACCGTGATGATGGTTGTAAGTTGCCCTAGGGCTACTGAAGCAAGAAACTACTGGTACCTCTCAACATCAGACTATACACTATGAAAACAACGAATAGCTCCATACTGGGGATCTCCTGGAAATACAGGTTCTTGTAAACCCTGAGTCTCACCCCACCACATCTAACTGCTCAGCAAACTTTGGGTCATGGAACCAGCACCCCAAAACCTCAGCACAGCTACTGAGGCCTACTTAAGACAGGGTGGAGCCAAATGTGGGCTGTCCTCATAAAAGACAGGCTCAAAGGAAAACACACTTGGCCAAACTTCTGACAGGCATTTTAGCCCCAGACGCTTTGGTCAACAAAAGATTTCATCTTCATGTTTGCTATAAACTATGAGACAATTATCTAAACATTGTCCCCTTCATAGGAAAGAACTCTAGGAACACTTGTCTCAGATACCCAAAATGCAAATCAAAGTCACAGATGTCTCTCTATGTAATGTAAGAGCTTACTCCCTTTGGGGTCATTGACATTACTGGTAGTAACTAAGACATTCACTTCTCTTCTCAAAATATACAACAGGAGGCCCTTGGAAAAGGTGTTCAGTAGAACTTTCACGTCCCTAGTAAGTCCTATATCACCAGTGTGAATGAGAGATAAAATAGTCACTTCAAACAACTCTTCTTTGCTTTCTTTTTTCTGGCAGTACTGGGGTTTGAACTCAGGGCCTTGAATTTGCTGAGTAGGCATGCTACCACTTGAGCTGGACCTCAAGTCCTTTTTGCTTTAGTTATTTTTCAAATAGGATCTCAAGTTTTTGCCTTGGGCCAACCTGGACCATTTTCTCCTATTTATGCCTTCCACGTAGCTGGTATGGCAGGCATAGGCCACCATGCCTCATTTATTGGTTGTGATGGGGTCTTGCTAACTTTTTGCTTAGGTTAGCCTTGAATGGAGATCCTCCTGATCTCTCTCTCCTGAGTAGATGGAATTACAAGCAGGCACGCACCACCATACCTGGCTGTTTTTCGTATGAGACAGGGTCTCGGTACGTAGTCCAGGTTGGCCAGGGAATGTCCTGTTCTCCTGCCTCAGCCTTCCCAGTGCTGGGATTACAGAAATGCACCACCACTCCCAGCAGATTTGCAGTTTTTTAAACATAAATTCTGTGTATATTTAAGGTATACAACATGTTTGGGGATACATACAGATAGAAAAAGTTACTGGAGTGCAGCAAACCAACACAGCCATCATTTCAGAGTTCCCCTTTTTTTTTTTTGGTGGCACTAGCTGTAATCTGCTAAATATGAATGCAGTATACAGGACAATTTCATTTTCTTTTCCCTTTAATTTTTTATTAGGATATATTCATTGCACAGGGGGGATTCATTGTGACAATTCCATATAGGCTTATAGTGTACATTGGTTAGGTCACCCTCCCTGCCCCACTTTGAGCAATTGCAAGAGGTTTCTTGGTTCTATTTGATATATGAAATCCATCCACCATATTCACTCACCTTAATCACCTTTGTTCACCCTCCCCCTAAATATCCCCATACACAGTCCTGACCTTCACTATTAGTGTCTAAGTCGATGTTCAAAGGGGTGTCTCAATGTGTGCCTGCTGAGTCCATGTTACTTTGGGCCATTCAACCCTTTCCATTTTTCTCCCTTGCCCCATTACCTCCCAACCCCAGAACAATTTTTTAAATTGCCTATAGCCCTCGTGTTGTGATTAGATTTCTAGATTTGTTCGTCCTTTGTAAGTGCTACCTCCTATTCTCTGACCTACATCTCGCCCTCCACTACCATTGTCTCTACGGATTTGTTACATCTAAGTTTCTCATATGAGATCGTACAGTATTTTCGCGTGGCTTGTTTCATTTAACACAACCTCCAGGCTCACCCACGGTGTGGCCAGATGGTAAGACTGCGTTCTTTTTCAGGGCTGACTAATACTCTATTGTATGCCTGGGCCACCACTTCTTTAAGCACTTCTCTAATCCTAAATGTTTCCTCATCCTCGCTCCTATAAACAATGCAGCAATGAAGGAGACACTGCAGACGGCTCGAGGCACCGGCTATTTAATTCCCCGCGGGGTTTTGCCAGAGGAGGTACGGCTGGACCATGTGGCACTTCTGTTTATAATTTCTTTAGAAGTCTCCATACTGCTTCCCAGAATGGCTGTGCCAACTTCCACTGCCTCTTTTCTTAAGAGAGGAGGAAAGGCAGACCGGTGGGAAGAAAATAGCAAAGAGTCCCGTCTGGCAGCATTGGACCTCACGCTCGGGTGACAATCAGCTGGAGCCGAAGCCTCAGGCGGGGACCTGCGCGTGACCCTTGACCTTTCCCCAGCCGAGGCAATCCGCAGTGGCCGGTGCGAAAGAAGCCAGGGTTATTAACGGGGGCTGGAAGCGGGAGCCTCACAAAATAGAGCCAAAAGGTTGGAAGTGGCAAGCCTCGGCTTCCGTCAAACGCCAGAAACGTCGGATCGTGCCGTAGCCCGGGTTCCAGGGACGCGCTCCATTAAGAGCCGCCGCAAAGTCAGACGCACACCAGCAACAAAGAGCCCAGCCACCACCGGAAGCCGGAGAGGGAACCCCCGTCACGTGACCCTCCTTCCCGGACTCTGATTGGGCTTTGTGGATACGTGCTTCTCCCTGCGGCGTACGCGACCCCGCCCCCCAACCCGCGGGGGGCGGGGACTCGTGTCAGAAGCAGCGCCATTGGCCAGCTCCCTCAGGACGCGGCCAATCGGGATCCGCCGACTGGCGCGGCGCGCGAAGCTTGCTGGCGCCGGGCGCTGCAGAGGTGGCCGTGGCGCGCAGAGGTTGGGTTCTGGTTCGGCCCAACTCGGCCGGAGCCTGCGTGAGAGGTGAGTGCCGCGTGCGCGGAACTCTTAAGGCGTCCTAATTCGGCTCCCGGCTGCCCGGCCCGGAACCGGAGGCCTCGCCGGTTCCTCCCTTGGCCGTCCCGTTGAGCCCTCCGTGTGTGGAGCAGCCTGGGGGACAGACCGGGAAACCGAGGCCCGGGGCGGGGCCGGCCCCGCGGCTGGACCGGGCCCAGCACCGCTATGTGCGCGGGGCAGCCGCTGGCCGGTTGTAGCCCGCGTGTTCTGGGTTGCCGTGTGCCTGGCACCCGTTGTTAGCCAGCTGGGGGAAAAAAAAAAAAAAACCCAAAAAACCAAAACCCCAGAACTTCCCAGGACCGCAGAAAAGCGACGGGGTCAAGACGAGACGCCCCAGGTTCCCGGGTTCGAGTCCCGGCCCTGGACGTTCTGGCTGTGACCGTGCGCAGAGTCTGGTCAAACGGGAGGGACCGTCTCTTCGACCTCCTGGACTTTGATTAGGATCAAGTGACGTAGTATAGGCCATCAGGGAGACTTCTCTATGGCCCGAGAGAGGGAGAGACTCCAGCATGGCAAGTCAGAAGATGGAGAAGGGCCGGGTGTCATAGCTCGCGTCTGTACCCCTGCCTCCTGGCAGGCCGAGACGGGCACGATCACAGTTCACAGAGCTGAGTTCAAACCTCAGCCTTACACCCCGCCCCCCCAAGAAAGGAAGAGGAAGAAGGAAGGGGCAGAAGTCTGGGGCACGGTACATAGATTTCGGTGTTGTCAGTGTTTTGTTAGCGGGGTGCCACTCTGTCAGAGTCACTCTAGGTCATTAATCATTCTCCCTGCTGGTCACCATGATAGGCACCTTATGATCTCCAACCCTAACAGTAACAGAGAAGGACCTATTGCTGTCATCTCTCTGGCGAGGAAGCCAAGAGTTAAAAACAAACCATAGCTTTGGGTGCGTAGCAATTATACACAACTACTTTAGGATCGAATTACCTATATCTGAAGGGTTTTTGGGGGGACAGGACTGGGACTGGCTCGTCAGGTGCTCCACCACTTGAGCCATGCCCCCCAGCCTTTTTTTTTTTTTTTTTTTTTTGCTTTGGTTATTTTTTAGATTGGGTCTCTTGTTTTTGTTTTTGTTTTTTTTGTTTTGTTATTAAATCCAGGGCCAGCTTCTGACTGTAGTCTTCCACGCCCTCAGCCCTCGTTTAGTTTATTTATTTTGGAGGTGCTGGGGTTTGAACTCAAGGCTTTAAGCTTGCTAGATAAGGGCTCTGCCTCTTGATTTATTGATTGAGATGTGGTCTTGCTAGCTATCCTCTAGTGAGCCACCACTCCTGACCCTTTTTATTATTTTTACACTTAACTTACATGTGTATACATTATTTGTGCCATCCCCCCAACCCCAGGCAGAACCTTTTCTGCCCTCTTGTTCTCCGATTTTGTTGAACAGAAAACAAGAGATATTAAGAAAGACATAGTGTTTTTGCTAGTTTGAGATAAAGATAGCTATACAGAGAGACTCCTAGCATTGTTTCCATGCATATGTGTGTTACAGTCCACACTGGTTCAACTCTCTGCCTACTCTTCTCAAATGTCTTTTATGCCTTTAAAAAAGAAACAGGACAGAATGTAACTTCTTAAATTTCCTCTGGAGAGGGTGAATCATTCTGGGTATCATTCTGTTTTCTGTACTTTATGTATCTTTTTTGTTGTTTTGGTGACACTGGGGTTTAACTCAGGGCCTCACTCTTGCTAGGCAGGTGCTCTTACTGCTAGAGCCACTCTGCCAGCCCCCTGTATGTATCTTCTTTTGGTGGGATTGGGGTTTTTGAACTCAGGGCTTCATACTTAGAAAGCAGGCCAGGCACTCTACCGTTTGAGCCACACCTCCAGTCCTGTATGTATCTTTTGACATTTATCGCAAGGGAAAAAAGAATAAACACAGAGGTCTGGGGTAATTGCGCAATAATCTTGGGAGCTTATCTCCAAAAACCTGTGACCCTCTCCATCACCTTAGGAGAAAATCTCAATGTGATACGGGGGCCTGACCAGTGTTTCTCTACACATGCTCTCCTGCCTCAGCCTTTGTACAAATAGTGCATAGACCACTCTTCACAACCTCGGTCCTGTCTGGAAAGTTCCACCTGTCATTCAGATCCAATTCATTCTTCTTTGATAAGCTCCCTTTTGGGAGCCTCATCTGGGAATCAGTAAGGCTTTCAAGAAAAGACTAATGTCAGACTTCCCCATTGCATTGTCATTTTCTGCGGGTGTCTTTTCCACCATTGTAGCGACAGTGTTTAAGTCCTGCTCATCTTTGCTTCAGTGCCTATGGTGCTACCTGACACAGCAGCTGCTGGGTAAATGTTAACTGAATGAAACATACAAGTCAAAGTCAGAGAGCAGGAGTTCTTGGAGTCAGGACATACTGAATGGCAAGGAAATACTGTCTTTATTTTATTTAAAATTCCTGTGTTTTAATGAAATTTTTATTTTGGTGGTTCTGGGGTTTGAAATCAGGGTCTTGCACTTGTAATGCAGGCACTTTACCACTTGAACCATACCTCCAGCCCCAAACACTCTGAATGTCAAGAAAAATATGGCTGGGCATGGTGGTGCATACCTTTAATTTCAGCACGTGAGGAGGCTGAGGCAGGAAGATTTTGAGTTTGACCCAGTCTGGGCTAAATCGTGAGACAGTGTCTTAAAAAATTTTTTTTTTCATATATAATCCTGTCTTTTAGTCACTCTAGCTATTACTGTTTTTTATGAGTCTGTTCCACTTTTAATGATAAAATAAGCTATTCACATTTCTTAGGTATATAGTTTAGTGTCTTGGTTTTTCTCAATACCAAATTACTCTATGTGGTACTTTGTCTTTGGGTCATCATTTATAAGATGTCACAGTATTTTCTTCTTGGTATGAGATGGTGCTCTGTGCCATTAATTAAGAAAGTTAAGCTGGTGGAGTGGGCCAAGTGATAGAGCGCCTGCCTAGTGAGCGTGAAGCCTTGAGTTCAAACCCCAGTACCGCCGAAGAAGGAAGGAAGGAAGCTGGGCATTTTTCTCTAAGTTTACTTAGTGTCTGTGGGTTCTGGTAAACTGTGTTTGTACTCCCAGACCATTGCGACCAGTGGGTGGATGCCTGGGCTTTCCACATTACTAGGCAAGAGCTCTACCACTGAGTACAACTTCAGTCCTTGTTTTTTTTGAGATGGGGTCTTGCTACATAACCCAGGCTGGCTTTAAACTTGAGATCCTGCTGCCCCAGCCTCCCAAGTGCTGGGATTATAAGTATACACCACCATGCTGGCAGTTCACCTGGTTTGAAGTCTATACATGGAATGATACTGTGTGTATTCTGTTGAGCCTTTCTTGTTTGGCTCAACATTATGAGATTTTTCCGCATCGTAATACAGGTTTTTAAAAAATTTTTCGGTTTTCAAATAATTTTTTTTTTTGGTGGACTGAGGTTTGAACTCAGGGCATCATGCTCGCAAAGCAGGCTGTACCACTTGAGTCACCCCCCCCCAAGTCCATTTTGCTCTCAGTTATTGTGGAGATGTGGTCTTGTGAACTATTTGCCTGAGCTGGTCTCAAACCACCATCCTCCAGATGTTATAGGTGTGAGCTATTGGCACCTGGCTGCTTTTGAAATGAATTTTAATAATAAATTTATTTTTATCGCTGTAAGACATTTCATGATGTGATTATGCCACTTATCTATTGTACTTGTTTTATTTTTACTTTATTGTAGTACGAACACTTAACTTCCGATCTACCTCTAAACATATTTTTAGTTTTTTGTTGTTTCTTTTTTTTTCAGTATGAAGTAGGAGAGTAGAGCCCCCAGAGGTTGTGGGGAGGGAGGGGAATGTCTTTTTTTTTTTTTTTTTTTTTCTTTTTTTGGTGGCACTGGGGTCTGAACTCAGGGCCTCATGCTTGCTAGGCAGACACTCTTACCACTTTAGCCACTCCACCAACATTTTTTGGGATAGATTTTTTTTTTTTAAATAGGGTCTTGAAAACTATTTGCCTGGGGCTGGCTTCAAACCTCGAGCCTGCTGAACTAAAAAGGTAAAATAATTAGGAATTTAAAACATGCAAGACGTAAAGGAAGACATGTTTAAAGCACTTGTAAATGCACAAGATGAGAAGAAATCCTTTGTTCTGAGATAGAACAGCCCAATATCATCAGTGTCACTTCTGCCTAAGCTAATGCATAAATTTAATGAAATCTCAATGAAAGTAGCAAAGTTTCGTTCTCGGGGTAGACAGTTGCTTCTAAAGTTCATATTGGGGAAAAGCTAGGAGAAAATGTCCATACTCTTTTTTTTTTTTTTTTTGGTGGTATGACCTTGTGCACACATGCACAGCATGCTTGAGCCATGTCCCCAGCCTTTGTTTTGTATTTTGTTGTTGAGATAGGGTCTCAATAACTTTGCCTAGGTTGGGCAGAGATCCTCCTGCTTCCTCCTTCCAGGTACCTGGGAATATAGATGTGTGCTACCATGCCCAGCTTGTAGCATACATCTTGAAGACCTACTATTCCTTATCTAAATTGAGACACAAAATACCAGAATATGACAGAAGAAGGACAAAATACTGAGTAGATGCAATTTTTAAAAAACATTTAAAAATGCATTGAAATACTGTTTCTTACCTGTCAGATAATCTGAGAAAACTGCACAGAAGCTCTCTTTGGTGAGACTTTGGGCAATGCAGACTGATAAAAACCGGTTATGAGGAGGTCTTTGGGGACACCTAGCAAGTCACAGGCACACCTGTCCTCGGCCCAGCACTCCAGCTTGGGGGATGCCCCTTAGAGACCTGGATCCAGCAGTAAGAAAGCATAGGTGCAGAGGGTCTGTGTCACAGCATTACCCTAATTGTAAAGTGCCAGAGAAATATGCAAATGTCCAAAGGGGACATCTGCTGAATAAGCACTCTCATAATGGCGTATTTTCCAACTGCAAAGAGTGGGTGAAATGTTTGTCACGGGCATGAAGTGACTTCTAATAGGCACT